GCGAAAAAGGCGCAGGTCCGCAACTGTACGTAGGTCGGGGGGTAGGTCATTCCAGAGGGCAGGAGCTGCCACAGAGAAGGCTCTCCCCCTGGGGGTCGCCAGCCGGCATTGTCTGGCCGACGGCACTCTAAGGAGGCCCTCTCTGTGGGAGCGGACTGGTCGAAGGGAGGTGTTTGGTAGGAGGCGGTCTTGCAAATACATGTGCCGTTGCCCCAGCCTTGCCTCCCCCCGTGACTCCCTCCTCACCAGCAATCCCCCTGGAGGAGAGTCACCCGAGTGTGGCCCACGCGGTGCAGCGCAGCCAAGGACATGGCAGCCAGGCAGTGTAGACAAGACTCTGTCCTCATGCCCCATCCCGCACAGTTGATGCTGTGGGGTGCGGGTAGAGGGCATGGCCACCATGGTGCTGCTGGGCTGCCTGGGTGATCTGCGGCAGGCCCTGGAGGGGGTGAGTGGCCCTCCAGGCAGGCGGGATGGGGGTGGGGCAGGGGGTGGAGCAGGGGCGGGGCCAGTTTTGGGGCACTCGGTCTCTAAAAGGTTCGCCATCACTGGCTTAAGAGCATTAGAAATCTGCAACGTAACACAACACCCCACGCCACCAGGACCGCAACTCAACAGAGGCAACAAATACAATCACATTAGCCGTAAGAGGGGACGTTTCTGGGTCTGCACGATGTTCTTTGCGTGAATAGTTCTCCCGAATACGTTTTCTCAGGAGAGGACATGCTAGCTAGGAGAACCAAACCTTTGCACAAAAACCAGCCACACCCCACATCCTCAGGATCCAAATTGCTCCGGCGTGAAAGTTCAACAGGGCAAGTCGGCAGTTTCGACCTGGCGATCTACCTGTGTTGGCTTCCACTGTTCCTGCTTGAGCCTGCTGGTTCAAATGCTCTCTCACCATCTTCTGGAGGGATCTCATGAAGACTGAAATCAACCTGTCGATATAGCTGGGATTGTTGCTGCAGGCAGACTTCAGGATCATTAAAGTACCTGAAAGATACAAAGAAAGAATATTGGAATATTGGAAGAATAAGAACGGAGGGGGGGGGACCCATCTCTTTTGAACCGGCCTGATCTAAGGCTATTTTGAAAAAGAGAACAGAAAGATTTTAAGATCAGAGGTGCCCAACCTTGGCGATTTTCAGACCTGTGGGCTTCAACTGCCCAAAGTCCCTTTTTTTTCAGTGCCGTAGTAACTTTGAACGGTCACTAAAACGCTTGTAACTTGAGGACGACCTGTAGTTACTCTCACAAGAAGACCTAAGAAACTACGTCTTCAAAAAAAGTTGTGTATTAACTCTGGAGTAAGGGGGGGGAGGTAGGGTTAGCTTTGCTTTTTTCCACCATCACACAAACACACACCCCAATTCTCCCAAAGCTAACCATCAACTTAACAAATCTATCGTGCTTTTGGCAAACTCACTTCCTCAGTTTTAAGGGAGCAATAACGATGTTGTCCTGTAGTTACTTTCACAAGAGGACCTAAGAAACTACGTCTTCAAAAAGGTTGTGTATTAACTCTGGAGTAAAGGGGGGGGGGAGGTAGGGTTAGCTTTGCTTTTTTTCCACCATCACACACACACACACACACCAATTCTCCCAAAGCTAACCATCAACTTAACAAATCTATCGTGCTTTTGGCGAACTCACTTCCTCAGTTTTAAGGGAGCAATAACGACGTTGTCCTACGTCTATTATGAATGGTCAGCCAAAAAAAATCAAAACCTATAGAATAGTTTTTCTTCTTCGTAGTTCTCAAAATATTCGTGCCAATGAAAGCGGGCCGTTTTTTGTTTGTTTTTTCTTTGTTTTCCCGATTACGTGCTCCATCGTAACGATGCGATCGATCCAACGGCTTACCGAAAAGCTGAGAAGGGTTCGCGCTGGCTGCTTTTTCATAGTTGGTCAGTCCTTCATAAATAACCTTCCCAACAGCAGCATAAAGACACTCCAGCTCTTCGTATTTGGAGGCCACGCTTGAAGTACCTACGCAAGAGCAGACAAACCGGAAGAGATTCACGTGCTGAACGGGGTTCTCTGGCTGTTAGCCGGTGGGATGGGTTATTTCCTTTCTTCGTTATTTGTTTATACCCGCCTTGATTGTTTTTACATATAATTCAAGGCAAAGAACATACCTGACACGTCTTCCTCCACCTGTTTCCCCCACAACCATCACCCTGTGAGGTGGGTTGGGCTGNCTCCCGGTGATTGGCCCAAAGTCGCCCAGAAGGCTTGCATGGCTAAGGCGGGACTAGAACTCACCGTCTCCCGGTGATTGGCCCAAAGTCACCCAGAAGGCTTGCTTGGCTAAGGCGGGACTAGAACTCACCGTCTCCCGGTGATTGGCCCAAAGACGCCCAGAAGGCTTGCATGGCTAAGGCGGGACTAGAACTCACCGTCTCCCGGTGATTGGCCCAAAGTCGCCCAGAAGGCTTGCATGGCTAAGGTGGGACTAGAACTCACCGTCTCCCGGTGACTGGCCCAAAGTCACCCAGAAGGCTTGCATGGCTAAGGCGGGACTAGAACTCACCGTCTCCTGCTTTCTAGTCTGGCACCTTAACCAGACTGGTTCCCTTTAGCTTCCATTTATTTATTAAATTTATATGCTGTCTGTCTGACCCTCTTTGACTTATTCTGGGTGGCTTACAACAGCTTGCATGCCTAAGGGGACTAGAACCTATGACCTACTGCTGGCTGGGCCAAAGTCACCCACCCAAGCTTTTCATACCTAAGGCGGGATTTGAACTCATCATCTCCCACTTTCTAGCCTGGTTCCTTAACCACTTGGCCAAACTGGCTCTTGCGGTGGGTTGCCAAGCATCCACATCCTGTCCACGTGACCGTGGGGAAGCTACGACGGTCCTAACGGGGAGGACCGGGTTACATGTCAGTTTTTTTCAGCCCTGAGGTGGGATCTCCACAATCAACAACTAAGCTGGAACGAGCAACTCTTTGGACCTAAAAAAATCAAGACGATTTGGAACGGTTCTTCCGCTGCCTGTATCCATGCAACTATTGTACAAGCCCAGGTAAAAGACAAGGGTTATTTCAAGAGCTGCAAACAGCTGCAGAATCTTTGCTGGTTTGGATCCAAATAGAAGCATATTCCTAATATTCAACTCAGTTGCCATCACGCTGCTGCTCTCATCCATCTCTCTATTGAGCAGACAGAGGAGGCCTCTCCCCACGCAAGAACTGGCCGAAGAGAGCCTTCGCTTCTGTCCGTTCGTTCCCTCTTATCAAAAGTCTCCCTTTCCACCTAATTTCCCTTCCTTGTCTTACTAATACAGCCATGTTCAACAACTGAGAAAACGGCACTTTCAAAGCCGGGAAGGAGAGAAAAAAAACCACCCGGTAATTGCAAAAGACATTAAATTTATGACATGCATTTCTTGAGCCAGAGTAATAACCGCCACAGGTTATTAAGTTTTTATGCGACCGGATAATGATGTCTTTTCTAGTGCTTACCTCTTTCCACTTTTTATTTCAACTGGGGAGGCCAGGGCGACTTTTTAAAAAATAAAAAAGGAGTCCACAAAAACAAGGGCAACGTTAAGAGAGAGGTTCTTTCTGCCTTTCGTTTTGGGTCTCCTGTTTTCCAGGACCCCCGAGGCCATCTCCCTTCCCTGTGGTCACTACGTACTCGGCTCCGTGGGGAAGTTGTTCATCAAGCGGGAAAGGAGCGTGTGGACGGCTCGCAGAACTTTGGTGTTCCCGCACGTCATGCAGGAAGCGATTCCTCGCTGAAGCGGCTTGAAGCTACTCAAGATCACCGAAGACTGGAGTACGGTGAGCAGAAAGCTGAGAACTTCCAACCCGGTGCAGATATTGGCAAAGTTGGCTTGGTTGGGCTGTTCCTGGAACGAGACGTTGGCGAGACAAAGAAGATTTGAAGACACGACCAAGAAAAAAATTCATGGGCACGTACATCTAAAGAGGCGTTTGGGGAACGTTTACATCCTGTCCTCTGTCAACACCATCAATCCAACATGTTGCTAGTCTCAAAACACGTGTGAATCGTTCCTCAGATCCAGCCCCGGAGACGGTCAAGCCTGAGACATAAACGGAAATCTGACCCTCCAACTCCCATCAGCCACAGCTAGAAGACCCTACAGTTGAACTACCGAAAGTCATAACCTACAGAGGGTCAAAGATCCTCACTCCCCCCAGCTTCCTAATGCCAACAAGATGTCCCAAGAATGAAGGAGCCTCTCTTTTTCGCTTTCGGCATGTGTCCTTGGATGCAGAAGAAAAAAGATCTGACAATTTCCAAAATAAAAGACCTACATTCAATTATTCAGAGCAGGAGAGAGAGCAGCCAAAAATCATTTTTCTAGTCTACGTAATGGCACTTCGTTGATGAGAAAGGCAAACCATGGGCACAGCAGGGGTTGAAAGATTCCTTTTGATCTTAAGTTTCTTCCAAAGCATATACAGAAAACATCTCAAGTTCACGTTATTAAAAAATCAGAGTGTGGTTATAATAAAAGCCCATCTTTAAAAGAGGGAGAGAGGGAGGGAGAAAGGGAGAAAGGGAGAAAGGAAGGAAGGAAGGAAGGAAAGGAAGGAAAGGAAAGGGGAGGGAGGGAGGGAGGGAGGGAGGGAAGGAAGGAAGGAAGGAAGGAAGGAAGGAAGGAAGGAAGGAAGGAAGGAAGGAAGGAAGGAAGGAAGGAAGGAAGGAAGGAAGGAAGGAAGAATTGTAGTTAGACCATAAAATACCCCAAAATTCCAAACTCAAATTTACGTATAAGAGTGTAACTGTAATAAAAGCTCATCTTTAAAAGAGAAAAAGAGAGGAGGGGAAGAGAAAGTGAGGGGAAGACAGAGAGAGAGAAAGAGAGGAAAAAAACAAGGAAGTCCAGTTGCCTTTTGGAAAAGCACCTTTGGGACTGAGCTAGCGACAGAAATCTGGAACATCTGCAGGGAACATGGTGGCACTCATCAACTACTCTGAGAGGGAGACTGAAGCTACCATCAAAACATCTAAAGGCTGACCTTAGGGTCAATTCTCTGCAAACTTGACCCTTTTTCAAGAGTTGCATTGGTGGGGAGGGGCAAAAAAAAAGGACAAGCAATTTAACGTCTCATCAATATTCCATCTCCAGGCCTCGCTGTTTGCTTCCCATCCGCAGCCGCTGGCGTTTTCATCCCGCGTCCAAGGAGGAGGACGAGCGTTAATTATTTGAGACGATAAATCAATCCCATTAAGCGGAACATTTTCCAAGTCATGACATCCAATTAAAATTGGCAATTAAAGAAGCTAACATGACATTTCAAGATCTCCGCTTCCATCCACCGCACCCTATTTGGTTTTTCTCCCGTCGTTTTTTTAGAACAAACCCACTCCCCACGGACGCCGCGCGGCAACTCGTAACCGCAAGGCAAGGTGGTTTATGAGGCACTTAATTACGCGGACGAAGCCACGGCACGGGCTTACCACGGTCATTAGAAGCTTATCAAACCACTGCAGTTTCAGCTCCGACTTTGGCCACATGTCCGGTCGGGAAGCCGTCTTCAGAAGGTTAACGCAGCGCCGGGAGAGCACTTCTCCTGGAGAGCCGGCGGTGTTTGAGTTGTCATTTACCTAGCAATTAAGCAAGAATAATTACCCGGTGGCAAATATTTGTCATCATCATCTTTTAGACCTCATTAATGTTTTAAGGCCATCCTCCCTCCCTCCCTCCCTCCCACGTTCGCAGGAATCCCATTTTAGGTCTCCCAAAGAGAGACCTGGAAGATGCCTGATTAAGGGGAATGGCGTTCAACCCTTCCAGGGGACTTCTCCTGGATGTAGAAATGAGGTTTTGGAGGCCTCCACCCCCACACCCTGAATCTAAAATGTCAACAAACAGCAGAGGTGGGGGAAACAACTGTCCTGGAAATGGTTATCTCTTGGGCTAAGGTAGAGCATGGAATGGTAGGGTCGGAAGGGACCTTTGAGGTCTTCTAGTCCAACCTTCTGCTCAAGCAGGAGAGCCTCTACCGTTCCAGACCAATGTTTGTCTTTTGGAAACCTCCAGTCATGGAGCATCCACAACTTCTGGAGGCAAAGCGTTCCCACGCATTAATTGTCCTCGCTGTCAGGAAATTTCTCCTAGCTTGGGTCTCTCCTTGACCGACTTCCATCCGTTACTTCTTGTCCTGCCCCTTAGGTGCTTTGTACAGGTAAAGCCACCCCCTTTTTTTTATTAACCAGAGCTCCTTGGATATTGCCTCAGCCCTAAAAATGTTGCCGTGAATCTGGAGTTAAGCTGCAATGAGCAAATCCAGAGAGATGGGGGCAATGCTAGTGGATCCTCGTTTCTCTTTCTCTGCCTTGGGATCAAGGAAATCTTTCAGGTCTCCCTTCAAGGGAACAAAGAAACCGACGCTCTGACACTGATCAAGCCAGACCGCATCCACTTCACAAGAGAACTGTACCTGGCAGGCAATTCTAATCAGGAAATTGATCACCGTGTCGGTATGTTGCTTATCAATAGACTTGGAGAAAAGAGCGTCGGCTCCAGACAGCGACTGGCTCCTTCCGAACACCTGAGAACGCGGAGGACATGGAAAGGGTTAGCCAGGTGTTACAACAGCCTATGAGCACAGGGAAACTGCACAGCCATAGACCAACAGAATAGACACACAATTCACGGGGCTCTGAATATGCCTAGAGGCACACTTGTGTTCTTCAGTTTCTCTGCATTGCTTGGGTCCTTATTTTGAGGATTACTGAGTTTACAGCTAACAATTTTTGTTTTTAGCGTTTCGTCAACACTTTGGTCTGCTGGTGAAGGAACCAGGAAAGAAACCAGGAGACGGTGAGTTCTAGTCTCGCCATAGGCATGAAAGCCAGTTGGGTGACTTTGGGCCAATCACCAGGAGATGGTGACTTCTAGTCTCACCTTAAGCATGAAAATCAGTTGGATGACTTTGAGTCAATCACCAGGAGATGGTGAATTCTAGTCTCACCTTAAGCATGAAAGCTGGCTGGGTGACTTTAGGTCAATCACCAGGAGATGGTGAGTTCTAGTCTCATCTTAGGCATGAAAACCAGTTGGGTGACTGTGAGTCAATCACCAGGAGACGGTGAGTTCTAGTCCCGCTTTAGCCATGAAAGCCAGCTGGGTGACTTGGGGCCAATCCCCAGAGGCAGTGAGTTTTAGTCCTGCCTTAGGCATGAAAGCCAGCTGGGTGACTTTGGCCCGATCACTAGGAGACGGTGAGTTCTAGTCCCGCCTTAGGCATGAAAGCTGGATGGGTAATTGGGGGGCATTGAGTCCCTCTTTCTCCCTCCGCCCAGCCCACCTCAACAGGGTTGCTGTGGGAAAAAATAGCAGAAGGAAGGGGCATTACCTACGTTTGCCCCCTAGAGTTATTGATCAAAATAACTCCGTGTGGGATTAAAAATAAATCAAAGAGATCAAACTGCTCTAGGCTTCTTGGGAAAGGGAGAGTAGCACAAACGTCAAGGGAACAGAAGCTGTGAGGGATGGGAGGCCACAAAGCCCCAAATCCTTACTGCACTGATGGCCCCGGTCGCCGTTCGGAACCGCTTCACTTCCTGGCCGGAATCCACCGACAGTCCTCTTTTCACCCCAGATGAAGCGGTACTCATGCCCTCGCCACTGGCACCCGGGTCCATGTCTGAATCCGGCTTTGGGGGAGGGGGAGAGAAAGGGACAAAGGAGAGCTCAGGAATCGGAAATCGCTCCGGTTAATTCCTTCCCCAATCCTCGGCAGGTGGATTTACCTGCTGATCTTTGATGCGCTGCAGTTCCCACTTGATGATCACTTCGGCCAGGTCCACAGCCAGCTTCCTCTGCTCGATGGTCACGCTGGGGGTGAAGCCCAACCTCTGCATGGCACTCACCATGTGCTGCACTAAGTGGTGTCTCACCGGGTAGTAAACCTGCAGAGGGGTGGCGTGCAAGAGTTTCCGTGAAAAACGTGGCCCAAAACCGCTCCAAACTCATCTTCCTGGCCCTCGGCTTGATAAAAGAGCTAACGAAATCCGTTTTAAAATGATTAGATTAGATTAGATTAGATTAGATTAGATTGCATTAGATTAGATATCCTTTATTGTCATTTTTCCCTGTTGGGCACAACGGCACACGTTAAAAATGAAATTGAGTTGCTTGCTCTCCAAGTGTATACATACATAACACTCATTTAAACATACTATATACAACATATGTATAGACCAGGGATAGGCAACCTTGGCTCTTTTATGACTCGTGGACTTCGACTCCCAGAATTCCTGAGCCAGCCATGCTGAGGGGAAAGGGAGAGGTTTCCAAGCTGAGCCATGCTGGCTCAGGAATTCTGGGAGTTGAAGTCCACGAGTCATAAAAGAGCCAAGGTGGCCTACCCCTGGTCTAGGAGGCTTAGAACAGGAGGACTTAGGCCACGGGTAGGCAAACTTGGCTCTTTTGTGACTCGTGGACTTCAACTCCCAGAATTCCTGAGCCAGCCATGCTGAGGGGAAAGGGAGAGGTTTCCATGCGGTCATTCAGTTCTTTACCAGTTTTAGTTTTTAATGCACAACACGATCCAGGCACTTCGAGCGGCGTTAGCGGTTCCTGTTTTGCCATCACTGAGTTCCTACCTTGAAGTGCTGAACGATTAAGTGCAGGATATGGACCAGCTGAGGCACGGTGTGGCCTTCTTCCACGATGATCTTCCTGGTCCAGTGAGTCAACATCTGGTGGCCATCCTCCATGCGAGCGGGTACCGCAGGGGTCAAGATAGCCATGGCTTGTCTGACAATGATCCGAGCCTCCATGGCGTGGGCCTTCAAGAGACTGTGGAACACCTGGACAGAAGGCAAGGGGGACGTGATTGCAAGGGGTGGGGATCCCAAATATGTAGCTTTTACATTAAAACAGAATGACGGGGTGGGAAGAGACCTCGGAGGTCTTCTAGTCCAGGGCTTTTCAACCAGTGGTACGGGTACCACCTGTGGTACATTGGCACCTGGCAGGTGGTACGTGACCATCCTAGAAAAGTGGTACCGGGGGAGGGGAATGAGCTGAACCGGTGGCAGCACCGCACAAGCCTGAGTGAGAGATGGCTGGAGCTGCAGGGCTGTCAGGGCTCAGCAGAAGCGCCAGCATCAGCGCTTCTTTGGGACTGTCAGGGCTCAATGGAAGTGCCAGGATCAGCGCCAGACTCCAGCTGGAGCTCGGCGCTGATCCTGGCACTTCTGCTGAGCCCAGAAGAAGCGCCGATCAGCTGGAATGTTGCAGCCTCTCCAAGATCTTGTGATTTACATTCAGATGCTTGGCAACTGATTCATATTTATGACGGTCACAGTGTCCCAGGGTCATGTGAAGTGACCAAAACCTGCTGCAACCACCCAGCAGACGGGGGGGATAAAAACCAAACACACCCCACTCCACCCCTGCTGCCAATCCTCAACAGAAATGCTCACAATGAAAACCTCAGACAGAAGGAAGAGCGCCGCCGGGCGGGCAGGCAGGCGGCTTGCTCAGTTGTGGCTTGGGGGGCACTTTTTCAGTGCCATTGTAACTTCAACAGTCACTAAGTGAACCGTTGTAAGTCGAGGACTACCTGTACTTTATCCCTTTTTTCCTTTTTTTGGTCATCAAGTTTTTGACACCTTGCTAGGCGACCGGTGGTACTCAGATATTGCCATATCCTAAAAGTGGTACAATGGGTGAAAAGGTTGAAAAGCCCTGCTCTAGTCCAACCCCCTGCTCAAGCAGAAAACCCTGCATCCTTTGGAACAAATGGTTGTCCATTCTCTTCTTTAAAACCGTCCTCGTTTACGGAAAGGGAAACAAAGCAAAAAGAGGGATTGGATAAACCCAGAATTAGCACAAGGGCTGTGTCAGTGCTGCAAATACTGTATATTCTTGCTTTGACAATATGCAGAACTGTCTGGCATTTTTATAGTTAAACCAGGCAACAGGGAAAAGGGAGGAGAATAAGGATAGCCGGGGGGGAAAAGAAACCGGAAGTAAATCACATCTTCCAAGTTGATTGGAAGATGTGAACCATGACCCCAAAAGGGGGGGGGAAATGCTTAAAATGTATATGCCTAACGCAGTGGTTCTCAACCTTTTTAATGCCGCGACCCCAACCGGTCGTAAGTCGAGGACTAAACCGGTCATAAGTCGAGGACTACCCAACCGGTCGTAAGTCGAGGACTTTCCCTGCCCGGGAGCGCCGCGCATGCGTGGTTCCGCCCCCGGCGCCGGCCGAGGCGTAGCTGGCAAGCGGCAGAGACAGAGCAGGCTGACCACCAGCTGGCCCAGCCCAAGGGAGGTAAGGCACCCGCCGGAAAAGGGGGAAAAAATGGCGGACAAAAAAAATGGCAGACAGCCTTGCTTGGCGACCCCCATGAAATGGTTGATCGACCCCAAATGGGGTCCCGACCCACAGGTTGAAAACCACTGGCCTAACGGAAGAGAAGCCAGACCTAAGCATTTCCACCATGCCGTACTGACGTCTCTGTAACCTTAATAAATGCTTTTAGGAGAAAATATGCCTGAAAGTCCTTTTAAGTGTTTCGTTAATCAGACACATGACAGGCTGCTTCCAAAGACCGGCGTGTACCTCCCACTCGCCCCACATGTACCTGTAAGACAATCTTTTTGTGAATGGCGAACTTGGCAATGATGTGAGCGAGGAGCAGGTGCCCGCTGTATTTGCAGGCCGGGTCCACGCAGGCTTTGGAGAGCAAGCAGGGCCAAGCGAAGGTCATCAGGCGGCGGAGTTTGCTGTTCCGGTTCTTGTTGTTGTCGTGAATGTGGTGCGGGGCGTGTTCGACCAGCAAGGTGGCGAACTGGAGGAGGTAAATCCTGAGCGAATCCAGCATATCGGCTTGCTTTTCTGGGTCCAGAACCTGAATCGCCCAAAGGGAAGGAGAGAAATGTCAGAACCAGAATCAGAATAAAGCTGGAAGGGGCCTTGGAGGTCTTCTAGTCCAGCCCCCTGCTCAAGCAGGAGACCCTAAACCATTTCAGACAAATGGCTGTCCAGTCTCTTCTTAAAAACCTCCAGTGATGGAGCAACCAGAACTTCTGGTGGTAAGCTGTTCCACTGGTTAACTGTCCTCGCTGTTAGGAAAATTCTCCTTAATTCCAGGTTGCTTCTCTCCTTGATTATTTTCCATCCATTCTTTCTTATCCTGCCCTCTGGAGCTTTGGAAAATAAGTTGACAACCACCCCCTTCTTTGTGGCAACCCCTCAAATACTGGAACATTGCTATCATGTCACACACACACACAGAGTTCTTTTTTTCTCCAGACTAGCCAAACCCAAATCTTGCAACCGTTCTTCGTATGTTTTAGTCTCCAGGCCTTTAATCATCTTAGTTGCTCTTCTCTGCACTTTTTCCCAAAGTCTCAACATCTTTTTTTGTAAGGTAGTGACCAAAACTGGATGCAATATTCCAGGTGTGGCCCTACTAAGGTAAGGCAAGATAGATAGATAGATGAT